GCGCTAGGCGGTGTGCGGCCGCTGCGCCGCGTTGGGTCAGCGCCCGGGAGCTGGGCGCACGTGGGCTCGTGTGGCCAGGTGGGCGCTGGAGGAAGCCGGGGGTGCGGGCGGCTCTGGGCGGGCGTGCCTGGGAAGCTGGATTCTGCACGGGGACACTGTGGGCGCTCCCTGGGCTCTAGCTTTCTCTTGGAGACCCAACGAGGGGCTTTTCCGAAGCCCCTTCTAACCAAAGGTCTTGCTAGTGGGCTTTGGTCCCGGGTCTACTTTTCATTCGGAGAGTTTATAAATGAGAAAATAATGCATATAAAATACAATCATGGTAATGATAAATAGAAGCCGAAATGGCTGGCCTTGTCAAATAAAAACCACAGAGGTTCAAAAGTGTGCAGTTGCAGTTTTGGAAACTCCAGTAATGTGACTAGGTCTTCTAGATTAGTTAGCGTAGACTCGAGAAACTTGCTATTTTGCAGAAAGCAAGCACAAAGTTACACAACGTTTCTCATACTGTGCTATTGTTTGAGTCTTTGATAAGATTTAAGTCACAATGTTTATTTTAAATCAAAATGAGGCAAAACACACACTGAATTGAACAGTGTTTTGTGTTTTTTGCTTCACAGAATGATCTAGCTTATTTTGCTTAATATTGCTAACATCTCTTTTATTCATCTAATACTAATACTAATACAATTAACTCTGAGAAAGTGCCAGCTCTATATGTGACTTTGTTGATGCTTTTAATGTTCTAAGAGTTTCTCTTCTTTAAGATACATGATTCCAAGAAAATCTGATTATAGGTAAGGGATTTCACTACAGAAAGTAGTGCATGCAAAAAATCCCAATGACTATTAATGAAATCGCTTCACCTTAGGAGAGCACCCATGGACCCCAATAGAGAACTGGGGGTTTAAGTAACATCGTAGTACAAGACTATCACTTGAATAAACCTCCTAAATAATAGAGACTGCTAATGTAAACTTATTTTTTATACCATAAGCAAGGTCCCCTATGCAAATAATCATTAATGGGAAATGATATATGTTGCCTATAACACCAAAGTTACTCAATCTCACAAGGGCTAGGAGGCATTGCACAGGTAGATGAAGACTTGAGACTAGAGTTTTGTCTAACTTGTAAGAGTGAAGAGGAACTAATGGAATCACTTGGATTGCTGGGTTTTGTTTTGTTTTTGTTTTTGTTTTTTTTTCCTATATGACATCATTTCCCACATACTTTATGTAGGCATGGTGTAAGGATTGTCCACCATTAGCTGCAGCACAATACTTTGGGATAAACGATTTGACATTTAGAAACTGCCAATTCAGTCACAATACTGATCTCTGAGTTTATCTAATAGATCTGCCTATCTGATCTGGTACTTCCTGAAACAAGAACATATTGTATCCATGTGTTTGAATAACTTAAAAACTTTCATAGTAAGCAAAAACGAGCAAGATTTTTAGAATAAACACAATATCTGACACACCAGTCTTTGACTTATGTTTTCTCCCTAGTCTGAAATTACTGTGAATTCCACATCATGTCTTTATGGTTCAATTTTTTAAATGTCTTTAGATGTAGAAAGACTAGGTTGTACAGAGTGTAGGTACACTATAAAATCTCTCAGATGGACTATGAGAGAGAAGAGAAAATAGAATCCTTAGAAATGTGACCTTTAAAATGGATCAAATCTGATTTCACCTTCTATGGCATTTCCATTTGCCCTACTCTCTTCCTGCTACTCAAAGAGGAATGAACATCCTCTTCCTAGTTGAATACTACTTGCACCATCTCTTCTATCTCCACCTGTCTGGAGCACTGCACTTTTCACTTTAAACTGTCAAATCCTCCCTGGCAGGAATGAAACAGAAAAACCCAAATTAGTCATTTTCAATAATGAAGTAATCTAGGTTGACATCCTCCAAAAATGTGTACAGGTCTGAATTCCCAAGCTTTGATGAAATTGCAGGGAATTTCAAGGGACTTTTGTAGCTGAATATTTGCCACACCCTGTACTCCTACATTTTGCCAAGTATAACCCAAAGTGAGTCTCATGTCCATGAATAAGGGATTTATTTTATCAAGATGGAATGAATAGTTTCTTAATAGCTCTAATTTGTGCCTCCATTATCTTCAACTTGTTCAGCAAAGACAAGCTAAAATCCCTTGCGGTTTTTCTGCAAATGGTTGGAGAATTGGTATTGATGCTTGTGTTATCATGGAATAGGCTTGAAAGAGAAAAAGGATTAGACCAGAGTTCAAGTCTCTAGGGTTCCAAAGGCTTTCAAGTCACTGTACTCCACTCCTCTTTCAAAAATGTGTAAAAAATTTAAGGCAACTATCCACTGGATGTGTTCCATATTTGCCCATCCCTGAAATATTGAAAAATATTGAAAAATACAAATCTTTTAACAACAAATTATCTTTCAATCTATGCTTTTCTGCCTATCTTTTAGCAAAAAACAAACAATGGTTTTGCAATGGTTTTCAGCCCTGCACTGCTCTCCCTATGAATTTCCCTGCATCCTGTCACTTGGCTTGTTTCTGTGTTTTCTTTACATTGGCCATTAATCAAGAATTGCCCGGAGCTCCACCCGCTCTGTGCTGAGCTCTATTTCCTTCTCTCAGGATTCCTGCTGAGACCGTATCTGCTGGAAAAAGTCAGTTTTCTTAGTCCAAACATCTTCACTTAGCCTGTTCCTCTAAGAACTGAAAATCAAGGATTCAGAAGAGTGCTCAACTAAGGTATATCCTTCTTTTTCCCCCCTACATTCTTGATAAAAGTTCTGTTAGGAATGTGCTCTGGAAATTTCTATCTAACCATATCCAATGGACTTTTCTACATTCTCATCCATCTCAAATCCTCATGAAACTCAGGACTAAATTACTGGACCATTTATCTCTAAACCATCCATTCCTAAGCACAACCATTTTAATGGATAGGATACCAAAAAGGACCTTGCAGGCCTCATTTTTTCATCCTTGCTCCAAACTTATCATAGGATAAATTTACCACCACCTCAAATTATATGATTGAAATAGATTCAATCATATTTGAATCTATTTCTTAAGCTGCTCTCTCCAACTTCCTTTTTTGCTAATTTCCTGGGACTCTAGGTTTAATACCTAAGTTACTGAGTTACTGTTTATTTACTTCTATCTTTTACTTTCTTGTGTTCCATCATCTCAGTGTTCTGCTACCATTTCTCTATTTATTCATCACACAGAAACAATCATTTATCTTGTTTTTCTATGACCCCCACCTTCCTGATCTCTCTACCATGCTAAGACATGGTATTGGAATCTTCTAAAAATCTCATGGTATCTGATTATAGAATCAAACTGAATCCCTTCATCGTCTACTTCAGTACCCCCCACTGAAGTTAAAAGCCATCAGCCGCGTCAGTATTGTTTCCCAAGTTATCATTTAGACATGTGCTATCCAGCAGTAGCTGCTAACCACAGTGGCTCTTAAGCTCTTGATTGGTGGCTGAACTGAGGTGTGCCCAAGGGTACCTACACACAGAATTTCAGTTACTACGATCAAAGTCATGTCAAAATGTTTCAATGGTTGAGATACGGTGAGCTGAGTTACATTAGCAGAATTATTTTCACCTATCTCTTTGTCCCTATTTTTATTTTATTTTATTTTATTTTTTTAAGATTTATTTATTTGTACATACAGAACTGGGGTACAGGCCAGAGGCGGTGAGAGGTTTCACCAGAGACAGAGTGGGGAGCAGAACAGGCAGA